AAACTCAGATGCATAGAGTTCTGAGCCAGCCTGGGCTATAAGAGAGCCTAACCTTGAGATAAAAGAAACGCTGCCTGCATTTTGTCCCTCTAAGATAGCTCTTTCCCAGCCAACCAAGCTCTCCTAGTTCACCGTGCGCAGACTGTGTTAGGGAGGCATCACAACGCTCAGGGAGGGCAGACACCCACCCTGGATCACACAGAAATGGTCGTCAACCTAAATCAGACTAGGGATCTTGCTTCCAGCCTGCGACTCCTAGTTTCCAGGCCCTGCTGGCCTGTCCTCTGACCCTGGCCCGCTGGGAGCCTGACCCCAGACCCATGGGGTTCGTAAGTCTGGTCTGGATTAGACACGCTGAGAAGCAAAGCCTGCTCCCCCGAGCCGATTGCCCAGTGGGACCGGAGCATACAGCTGCTGAGGCTCACAGGGACATAAATCACAGTGGCAGGAGGCCCCAAGGGCCAGGACCATCTCAGCCTCTCGAGGGCATGGGGGCCTGAGAGTCGTGGGCAGGGACACCTGGGTCCACTGGTGGTTTCTGTCCTCTCTCAGACTGGATGGACAGGGTGAGTTCGAGGGGCCAGGAAACCACTTGGCGGCCCTTGCGTCAGCATGGGCCAAGAGCCTGGCTCCAGTCCTTCAGTTTTGCAATCATTTACACACAGAGGGATGGGACAAGGGCCGCAGAGAACCCCAAGCCTTTATCCATTCTGTGCCTCCAAGACTCAATGCTTTTACCACCCAGGCATTAGCGTCCCTTGCTTTTACCCCAGGTCTTTTCTGCCCCATGGTTTCCTGACTCACCTTTGCTTTGCCCTGCTCTCTCACCTGCCCCTTTTGGATGCTTTTGATGACGCAGTGTTGCCTGCACCATGCTCCTCCACCCCAGAGAGACACTTGCTTGCTATTTTTTTAACTGGATGATTTGTTTCTTCGTTAGCTGCTTCTGGGCTTTGGTTGCTTTTTATTTTAATTCTTGTTTTTTTACTTTTAGATGTATTTATTTTGTGTGTATGGGTATTTTGTCTGTATGTGTGTCTATGCACCATGTGTGTGCCTGATGCCTACAGCGGCCAGGAGAGGGCATTAGATTTCCTGGTACTGGAATTATGGAAGGTTGTAAGCTGTCATGTAGGTGCTAAGAATTGAATCCTGGTCTTCTGGAAGAGCAGTCGGTACCCTAACCACTGAGCCATCTCTCTGTCCCCCAGAAGACATTCTCTTTTTTTCTCCAAGAACGGGTTTCTCTGTAGTTTTGAAACCTATCCTGGAACTAGCTCTTGTAGACCAGGCTGGTCTCGAATGCACAGAGATCCGCCTGCCTCTGCCTCCTGAGTGCTAAGATTAAAGGCGTGCGCCACCACCGCCCAGCTAGGAGATTTAATGCTTAATCAGAGGTTGTTCTTTTACCTAACTGTAGCAAACTCAAGTTACCTCCAAATTTCTTTTTCTTTTCTTTTCTTTTTTTCTTCCTTCCTTCCTTTGAGACATGGTCTGTCTATACAGGCTAGTCTTGATTTGTGATCCTCCTCTTCACAGCTGTTGGAAACTCTTTTGCTGTATTTATTTATTTTTTAATTTTGGGGTACTGGAGATTAAACCCAGAGCCTTGGGAAGCATGTGCTCTATGACTGAACTTTAATTTCAGATCTATTTTAATTTAACCTAAAAGGACACAATCATGGAATCATATACGGGTAAGAATCTGTGTTCTAAGCCTTGTTCAGTTTCAAATGCTAAGTGATTCTGGCCCACCACTGTTCTTGTTTAGGCTCAGTTTCTGGTGGTTGTGAGTTATTTATTTTTATTTTTTTTCCAAGACAGGGTTTCTCTGTGTAGCCCTGGCAATCCTGGAACCTGCTCTTTAGACCAGGTAGACCTTCAACTCAGAGATTCTCCTGCCTCTGCCTCCTGAGTGCTGGGGTTAAAGGTGTGCACCACCACTGCTTGGCAGGCTCAGAGTGATTTTGAGGGCTTTCCGGTTGCAACCTGTGGCATGGCAGAGAGGGAGTCCTGGGTTACTGGGGCCAGGTCTCTCTGGGAAGCCTCTGGCTGGTTGTTTGTCTGGCTACTATTTCCTCACTGTGTAGGGAACACTGAGAGCATTCTCATAGCGATATGTCTCGGGGAGGGGGGAACAATGATGCTGCCATCATTAGGATCAAGGTGGCCTGGCTCCAGTTAGCTGTCAGGGCAAGTTTTGGGGGAAGTTGAGCTCCATTAAGAAAATGACCCTCAGAGGTCTTGGTTCACAGCCATGCTTCTCCCGAGATACATGTTAGCCTAGCCTTGCAGCTCACAAAGACTGGTAGACATTAACTGTCTATTGCCTGGAAAAACAACAAGCCACAAATGGTAGACCGGTTCGTAGCTATGAAAGGTGTGCCAGCTCCTGGAACATCAAGAATTCTGTGAAAAATCATAAGGACTATACTACGAGGAGAAAAATCTAGAGTGTGCAAAATTCTGTTATTATTGTGCAAAGTAAGGCAAGTCACAAACATACACACAAACAATACCCCCCCCCCCCCGACACACACCTGTACATAACCTGCCTACTGTATACATAGATCAAGTCCCAGCTTAGCTAGTTTCTGCCTTGGAACTGGCGGCTGGGGGCAAGGGAGGGGAAGGCCACTGACTGTTAGAATTGGGGGACAGGCTTTTTCACCTGTGCACTCTGGAGCCAATATCCATGTCTCTGGTGCTTGCATGTCCACGGGTATAAGCAGGTGGTGAGAGTTTACTGCATTGACCTGTAAAGTCCTTCACGCTTGGATGAAGCAGTTGAGAGCGTGAACTTGGTGGCTGTGGGCAACTGTACATGTGTGTGCACCAGACTCTCCGGGACTGCAGGACAAGCTGCCATGCTCTTTGGGATGGATGATGTTTCTAGAGCCATGAAGAACTTGAGCTCGTATGATAAAGATGAGTGGAGAAATCTGTATTTATTGTTTTCTGCAGAGCTAGAAACCAGCACAGGACATTCCAGGAAGAACCCGCAGGGAAGCCCCTCATCGCTGTTGTCTTGTGGGGATGGGGACTGAGGGAGGTGTGTGTCTTTCCTTGCTTACTATTTGATGCAATGGGAGCTGATTGCTCACTGCCCCAGAGCTCTTTTAAAAACATTGCACAGAGCAAAACACTCCCTTTTCTCTTCTTCCTGCTAGGGCCTGTTAAGAGACTGGGAAGGCCCAGATGGGTCAAGCAGCATTTCCCGGGTCACCCAGCAAATCTGGTGGCAGAAGTGGGCTTCCAGCCCAGAGCACCCAAGTGTCTGCGTTGCTCCCCCCCAGGTTTCCTGCCATTGACAAGGTCATAGTCCTCTTCCTGTGGCTTTGCCAGAGGCTGCGGTACCTGGAGCAGGGTAGGTGCAGGGAGAGCAATGTGCTTTCCTAATTAGCTCCCGGAGGGGAAGTGTGGGCGCTCTGGGACACAGGACAGGCAAGACCAGTGTCCCTGGACACGGGAACTGAGGGAGAGGGCGTGGGGTAGGTGTCCTGGGCAGCAGGGCCCCTGGGGGGAGCCTCTTTCTTCATGTCCCATGCTAATAGGAGTAAGTGTGGGGCTGCACCATTGGTTCTAGCCTGTATGACAAGGGGCAGACAGTTCTGGTCCCCCTGTCGACCCTGTTTTGTCTACAGAGGACTGGGTGGGTTAGGCTTGATCCTGTGGAGACTGACACAACTGGCTTTTGGCTACTGTCTTCTCAGCTGCAAAATGGCTGCCTTACAGAGCCTCTGCCAGAGGATCAGAGCACATGGCGTGGGAGCCAGCAGTCAGTAAACATGAAAGGAAACGTGCTCGCTAAATAAGAGCATAACAGTGGTGTGTGAATGTCCCTTGCCGAGAGAAGGGCGGCTGTCTGGTTGGTCCTGCCTCTCCAAGTCTTTCTCCTTGCTTGCCCTGAGCTTCACTGATCCTGGCCTCATAGGCAACCAGGTTGAGCCAGAGACCAGAACCTCTGACTTCCCTGGACTCTAGCGGCCAGGCTGTCTGTGCCCTATTCTCAGATGAATTTGCAAAGGAGAAAGTGGGACACTATCTCCCAGGGCTGCTGACCCACCACCCAGAGAGGGAAGGATTGTTTTGCCCCTCCCTTTTGTTACATTTTATTTTGTGCTTATGTACTTGTGGAGGTCAGAGGACAACTTGTGGGGGGCTGGTCTCTCCTGCCACCATGTGGGTTTCAAAGGTTGTCAAGTTTGGTGGCAAGTTTGTTTTTCTTTTTGTTTTGTTTTCCAAGACAGGCTTTCTCTGTAGCTTTGAAGCCTGTCCTGGAGCTAGCTCTTGTAGACCAAGCTGGCTTCGAACTCACAGAGATCCGCCTACCTCTGTCTCCTGAGTTCTAGGATTAAAGGTGTGCGCCACCACCGCCTGGCTCCGTGGCAAGTTGTTGCTGTTGTTTTTTTTTTTTAACTGGCTGAGCCATAATGGCTCCTGCTTTGGATTTTAAAAGCAGACAGACCTCAGGGTGTCACCTGTCATATACCAGTCTCCCAAAACTAAGATGTTACCAGGTAAGATCCTGCCTTCTGCACTTGAGGTCAACCATGTGGGCTGGGTGACGTTGCGTGTCACACTAAGACACACTCACAGAAGGCACTGTAAGCAGCTAGCAGAAGAATGGGACCTTTTCCAAACTGACTCCAGACAGCAGCAAGCTCCACTGAGGGGCAGGCGGGAATCACAAAAACCCTGTGACAGGAAGCCTGAAGAGAGCCTGGTGGAGGCAGACTCCACCACATGCCCACTAGCAGCTTCTGAATTTGAACCATGGTTCTATTCCTTACTCAAAAATAAATAAAATGTGGATTTCTTTGGTCACTACCCAAAGGTGTTCATAACACCGAACCAAGGGAAGGCTGGGAGGAAAGTCTGCCTATAGCTTCCTATCCACGGTGAGATGTCTTTGCCACAGCTGTGACAATCTTAAATCCTAGAGAGGGGTCTGCCCCATTGTCCACATCCCTCCCCTTACTTAGCCAGGATACACATCATTTATTTAAAAATACCTTTATTTTAACCCCACCAATTCTCTCATATATCGCATTCACGTGTAGACACACACACACACACACACACACACACACACACACACACTTCCAAAAATAGTCTTTGGTGTTCTGAACTTTCTGCCTTGTCCCTGATCAGCTAGGCCCGGATGGCTAAATGGGTCCTCGTGGCTCTCCAGGGTGGGCCCTGTGTCCAGGCCATTGTCCTCTGGTCCCTACACAAAGGAGTAGGTTTGGGCTTCTGGAATCTTCTCCCCTGTCCAATGAGGGGTTGGCTCCTGGCCTTTCTCTGGAGTCCTTCTTGAAGCAAACACTGCAGGGACCCAGGCTCATCGCCGAGGCCCTCGGAGGGGGGCTACACCCCTCATTTTCAAGCAGCTGCCCCCAAGGTCACGACGGTTACCCTGCAGGAGAGAAAGAGGGGTCAGGAATGAGTTAGGAACTAACGACGTGCCCAGCAACAGAGGCTTGATAAAGTTCAGCCACACAACAAATTCTCTGTTGAAAAGGCAGAAGAGACTCTGGGCTGTCAGGGAGCCTCATGGGGTGACAGTGTTTAGGGACAACAGCAGGGGCCGAGGGGAGCAAATGCCACTTACGGAGGGAAGTATGTGTGTGAGCATTGCTAAAGGGTGCCCCGGATATCCCCTTTGGGGAGGGGCACCCCTCCTTTACAACAGCTTACTCACCTACTCCTTTCCCACCTGAAGATCTTCTGCCTTAAGAAGTCTAATACATGCTGGGTGTGTCGGCACATGCCTGGAAGCCCAGAGGCATGGAGGCATGCCCATGAGTTTGAGGCCAGCCTGGTCTACATAGTGAGTTCCAAACTGGACAGAACTACATAATAAGACCTTGCCTCAAAAAACAGAAATGAGCCCAGTGGTGGTGGCACATGCCTTTAATCCCAGCACTCGGGAGGCAGAGGCAGGAGAATCTCTGTGAGTTTGAGGCCAGCCTGGTCTACAAGAGCTAGCTCCAGGACAGGCTCCAAAACTACAGAGAGACCCTGTCTCGAAAAACCAAAAAAGCCAAAAAAAAAAACCCCAAAAAAACCACACCCAAAAACAAAAACAAACAACAACAACAAAAAAACCAGAACCTCCAGATTGAATACACACATATATAATATACACATCTATATGTTGGGAGCAGGAGGTGCTGGGGATTGAATTTGGGATCTTACACACGCCAAGTAGGTTCTCTACCACTGAACTACACTCCAAAGACATGCAATTTTCACACAGTGTAAAGCGTATTTTACATTAAGGGGCAAGGAAAACCCCGTGGCAGTTCCAGGTGCTGCCTGTGAAGTAGGTGTGTGTGTGTGTGTGTGGCGCATGCCCACCCTCACAATCAGACAGGTTTCTGGCCTCCTTGCCTCCACCCTTGGCACTGGTCTGACAAGAAGATTTCTCTATGATTGCTTCTCACTTGCTACTGTCTGGGACATTCCCTGGAGTAAAGCAAGGAGGGAGGCAAGGTTTGCCTTTGCCTCCCTGTCAGGCCTGGAGCCCACGAAGTGGCAGAAAACAGCATTCTTCCAGCCCTGGGCTGGGGTCCTGCAGGTGCCAATCAGTGCCCCTTCAAGCTAAAGGTGGCAGTCCCTGAAGCCACCAGTCCTTCAGCCTTGCCCCTCACACCAAGATGCTCAGGCTGGCCATAGGTTAGACCTTCACCGAGAGCAAGAGAGCTCACAGTCCTGGTTCTGTCTCCCTGCTTTCTGACAGTATGTAGTTCTGTAGCCTAGGTCGATCTTGAACTCCATCTGCTCCAGCCTTCCTTCATCTGAGGGCTGGGGTTACAAGTCCGTGCCTAGAGGTCCTTCTTTTGAGGATTCCAGTCCGGAGACACCAGCTGTTTAGTAAGAGCTAGGGAGCACCCCACTGCCTGTCAAGCTGCCCCACTTCCAGGCCCCATATAGAAGGGAATATCGCACACAGTAAGTGCTCCGTCGGTTGGGAGTGGCTGAGTTGGTAGTGACCTCAGCTCATCTAGAGACCCAGTGGACCATCTGCAAGATCTGCCTCTGCTGCCTTCTGCCTCTGCCCCAGCCCAGGTTGGGGCAGATCCATCCAGATGTGAGCCCAGCCTCCCTGGAGGCTCTCCGGGCCCAGGGACAGTATGTTCATTCACAGGCAGGGCTATTTTGAGGCCTGAGGCCATGGTCCCAGCAGAGCCTGGGGCTTGGGCTTCTCAGACAGACTCTGGCAGGAGAAGCTGAGAAGGGTGGATGGGGCAGGGAGAGGGAGGCTAGGAGACAGAACCCTCCCCCTCACCCTCACCCTTAGGTCCTCAGAGACAAGGAATACCACACCTCCCACCCTAAGTCTGGAGGTCAATGCAGAGAACTGGGTTCCGTGGGAATGCTGGGACAGTTCACTCTCCTGAACCTCAGTTTCTTCATCTGTGGAATGGACACCCCCCCCCATGTGCAGTGGAACACGAACACAGCTGTGTCCACTGCTAAGAACCCCAGGAAGAGGTTTAATCAGGTCCAGAGTGAGACACTGCTGCTCTAACACGGATGCCCTGCCAGACGGAGCCTCAGTTTCCTCATCTGTAGCAGGGTGCTGCTTTACAGGGTAAACAGGCTAACACAAGTGACACACACCAACAGGTAAAGCGTTTTTTGTGTATATGTGGTACTGGGGATGGAACCGAAGGTCTCGTCTGTGGCAGACAAGTGTTCTATTTCTGAGCTATGGGTCCAGTCTTGTTTTTACTTTTCGAGACAGGGTCTCACTAAGCTGCCCCGCAGGCCTCACACCTGGGATCTTCTGCCTCAGCCTTGGGGTTGCAGTGTGAGTCACCACACCCACCAAGAAGAGCTCAGGACAGAAGAACACAGCGAGTGGCCAATAAACATTCAGAGTATGATGACCAGCATCCTCCAGGGGCACCTCCTGCACCAGCTACTGAACTGGGCACACCAACAATATGGACCAGCTTCACAAAAGAATCCTATCCAGCTCGACTCCCGTTGACAGAAGGAAAAACAAGGCAGAGAGATGAACCCACTTTCCCATCGATACTGCTACCCATAGAGGTAGTCTTAGCTCATCCCCGAACAGGAAGGGGATGCAGGGGACTGTGTCCATGGCGACCCCCAACCCCAGACCATCCAGGATCAGAGCGGTAGGAGTGGCTTAGGAGGGAGTGGGGTCGGGGACCTTGGAGTTTCTTAACCTCAGAACTCAGGAGTGTGCAGGGACTCACTCAAACACCTCGAATGTTCCAGACAAGTCCTGGAGGGGCTAGCACTGGCAAGAATCACCCCTCTGGCCTATTCCCTGAGGAGCCTGTGTGGCTGAGCATGGCTTCTACGACCAAATTTGGTTGGGTTCTTGATCCCACAGACAGATCCCAAACAGAAGTAAGGCTTAGGCCAGTCACTGTGAACCATGGGACAGTCCCCCCAGTGCTGCTGTGGTGGTGGGCACAGCACCTTCTCGGCAGCCTGGAGGCACAGGGTCCCTCCTACTTTCCAGTTAGCCAGGCCAGAGTGTCAATCCTGCCCTACCGCTCCTGGGCACCTCAGGCAAGGCAGCCTTGTCCAAGCGGGTGGGGATGGCCACAGGGCTCCCTCTGCTCCTTAAAGGACCTAAATGAAGAGTGCCCAGCACAGCTGTTGTTGGAAGATTCCTGTCACTGTGACGGTCTCCTCGGCCTTTAACATCTTTCCACTTCTTTCTCTACAGCAGGGGTTCTCTACCAGTGGGTCACAACCCATTGAGGGGGATGACCCTTTCCCAAGGGTAGCGCATCAGACATCCTGCACAATAGACATTTACACTGCAATTCCTAACAGTAGCAAAAGGACAGTTACAAAGTAGCAACGACATGACCTCATGGTTGGAGGGGGGGTCACCACAACAGGAGGAACTGTCTTAAAGGACCTCAGTATTAGGAAGGTTGAGAGCCACCGCTTTAGACCATGACTGCAAACCCCAGGTCCTACCACGCATGCTCTAAAACACCCTTTCCCACCCTTTATCCACAAGGCCTGCCTCTTTTAGAGATTTAACACAGCTCTTCAGCCTCACTCTGGGGCTGGGCTTCTCCTGGGCTCTCAAAGTACCACCAAACCATAATATCCTTCTCTTCATCCTCCCTTCTGCTCCTGACGCTGTCCTGACAGCCCTGCCTGGAAGGCGGGAACCACGTCTGCTTCTCTGGGTACATTCTCAGAGCCAGCAGAAGCCAGCTGCTGGGTGGTTAAGGGAAGCTGACCCCAATGGCTATAAAGAAGTGGTGTGTCCAGCTAGCCTTTTATCCCAGGTGCACACCTGAAGACCCAGCTCTGACTTCCCTCCCCAGCCTGGGGCACTGACAGGGACCCTCCAAAGGGTACCTACCAGTCAGGGGTTAAGAAGACTCACTCAGAGAAGCTGAGGCATTTGCAGGCTGGGAAGACATTGGGAATTTGAGCCAGAGGACTGGTCTGAAGCTAGGCCACTGAGGCCTTCCCAGGGTGGAGCGACGAGACCAGTGTGCTGGGCTGAAGGGGACTGAACACAATCCCCACATCTTTGTCTCACTGACTGTGGAAAGTAAGGCAAGACTCTCTGAGCCTCAGTTTCTCCAGATGTAAACAGTAGCTGTTGACTTAAGTCACACTGGCAGACTTCCCCGCTGTAAGACAAGCCCAGGCTGGAAAGGGTGTGAGCCTGAGGGGTCAAGCAGGCCTGGGCAGTTTTGGCTAGAAGGCCCCAGAGACTTCTGCGGCTCCCCAGTGCCCAGCCAGTCTCTTAACTTAGAGACAAGCAGACAATGGTGTCCCTTCCTAGCCCTACATCCTTCTGGGGCTGGGTACTCTTCAAGGACCCTCTCCTGCACACGTGTTGGGACCTCAGGCTCTGGAGTAGAGATGTCCCCATCTTCTTCTCAGTCTCCTACTGTTGGGTTAATCCTTAGGATCTGGAACAGTTTATTAGGGACGATGTTAGCTCAGAGTGATGCCTGCTACCTAATAAGCCCAGAGCAGCTGCTTCCTGTAAGTGTGTGCAGTGCTCTTATTTGAAGCGTCTCAGGGATAACTGAGGGAACAACCAGCTACTTGCCCATCAGGCAAAGAGGAAGGTCGCAGAGTGGGGCACCTCTCAAGGTACAACTAAGTCAGACCGGAGCTTACTGGGCTCCCCTATACGTTTTCTGTTTGGGGGTTAAGCAAGAGGCTCTGTTCCACTTTAATTCTAGGGCATGAGGCACCGCCACCACCGCTGCTCCGAGTCGCTTCCAAGGGGGTCCCTGACTTCTGGGAGGTCCGTCCCTGCCCCCAACCCTGATGATCTGACTGCAGCAGGCGTGCTGTGCACTCACCCCTTTGCGCTGGTTGCTGAGACAGAAGGTGCAGATGGAGCGCGGCTGACGGCCGTCGGCGGCGGGGACCGCGCTCTTGCCACCGCCCGCCGCGCGGAAACACGGCTGCCCGTCGTCGACCGAGTCTCCCAGCAGCAGCACGTTGGCCAGGTGCGCGATGTAGCTGGACGCCAGACGCAGCGTCTCGATCTTGGACAGCTTTCGGTCCACCGGCTCGGTTGGAATGAGCGTGCGCAGGGCGGTGAAGGCCGTGTTCACGCTCTGTGTGCGGTCCCGCTCGCGTGCATTGGCCGCCTGTCGCTGCCGCACCACCACCACC